GGTCTTGTTGCGCGTCTTCGTCCATTAGGGAACCTTGCGAAAAGTGTCAATTACAACAGATGTCAGAAACAATCAGCGGCGTAAATAAGTCATAAGGCCCCCACATACGCAAGTGACATTGAATCCACCCGATAAACGTGGTCAGCAACCCACTCCTGGCCAGAAAACTTATGGTAAGGTAATCAATAAGCCTGACTCGTCCAATTGCGTGCGGCTAATTAATAGTTGGATGGGCGCACCAGGAAAAGGTGTCAGATACAAAAACAAAGACATCGCGGGTCAAAACTGTTAACAGTTGAATGGGTGAGAATTGTATGGGACTTGGCATGGTCATTGTGCGTGTTCGGGGCCAATCAATACCCCAAATTATGGTAATCAATTTTAATTAGAGAGACGGTAAGAACGAAGGGCCCACAACCCTTCGAGCAACTCACTCAATTCTGTCCAAAACGCAACTGAATGCGAGTGGAGTGAATAGGACGCTTCTGAATATGACTGGACTGCAATTGACGTAGTCAAAGCGCAGCTCATAATCCGAGCATCGTGTTTAGGGCTACACTTGGAGAAAAATTAATTCTAAAGATGTTTAGAGTTATCTGTATGAATTTGAGATCTTTTGAAATGGTACTCAAAAGTATGCAGTGAAAAATGGATGTCGTAAGATATTATTGCATATTTTGAGGCACCTTTTAAAGTAAACTTAAGGTTCAAGTCGATTTTGTGGCACCCTCGATTATGAAAGAAACTGTTACCTAACTTTATAAAAATTTATGACAGGGAGAAGTACTTTGATTTGGAAATCACTTAAAACGGTGCCCAAAAGTATGCATCTAAAAATCGACGTCGCAGTACATTGTTGCATAGTGGTATATGGTATATTTAATTTGATAATATATTATAATCTTGATCAAAAAATCCCAGTGCACCCAACCAATTGGCAGAAAAGCTGGTGAGGGGGATTGAGCTGGGATTTTTGCTTATGTCAAAATTCGAACAATGGCCAAGTGGCTGGCCCAAAATTGAGGCTGACAGCCCTCATGGTCGCCACACCCTCATCCCCATCCACATCCTGGTCCTCATTCAAATCGAAACTGATGGACAGTCAGCCGCATCGAGTGGGTGGTGCAAAATGAGAGGGGCATGCAGGATGGCACTCGGAAATTGAAGCTGGGTCTGCCAGAGGCATCGGCTTCAAAATTCCATTATTTGGATTAGACCAATTGTTGCTTTGTATTCGGCCGCTTCGAGCTCATAACGCTCATTGAACAGCCGAAATTATAGCTCATAGCCTGAACAGTCTACTCAATTAAGATTAGCTGAATTGAATAGATAGATTTTCACATTAATAACAAACTGACCAGTTTATGTGTGGCAGGAATACTTGATATTTTTTTGAAAATATATTTAAAGGGATATAATAAACAACAAAAAACTGCATTAGGTTGATTAGTACATAACATAAACCTATATATTTTTCTGGTATAAAGCCTAATGATAATTTTAAAGGTGCTTTAAACTTACTTGAAATAATTTTCCAAAAATGTATTTCCCTTGGCTGAATATCAAATTCTCATCCAGCATATTGCACCAGGGTAAAACCTGCCAAAGTTGCCAATCTGGGGTCAAAGTTGGCAAACGCAAAGTAATTTGGAAAGTACACAACATTGGGCAACTGGAGCAGCTGCTGCTACTGCTGCCAACTGCTATTAACATTAAATGACTGGCCTAATTTATGCACCTTGGTCCGAAAATCCATACCCACATATGGTGAGGGGAATTACAATTGTATTGCAGTCAACATTTCCATTGCCATTTCCATTTCCCGGGGAGCAGGAGGTGGATGAGTTGGGGAAGGGACACGCCCCACCGCAATGCCGTAACTTGATGGAATAGCTAAGCCGAAAACCAGCCGCATAGACAGGGGCTAGAACTCAACCGAAACTATGTACCGACCGATTTTGACTCCCCGGGAATCCCCTTTCTAACATCCATCTCTGCGACTTTTTCGGGGGGAAATTGCTTTACACAATCGAAACGCACGAAATGACAATATAAATCGAGGGGCGGAACTAATTTTGGCAAAAGACTCGAAATAGGCCGGGCACGACCACAAAAACCGGAATGATGATACTTGAAGGGGTGGCATACGAAATACGGAATACCCATAGAGTGAGAGATATTGGGGGTGTGCAATTTCAGCTGGTCCTACGTCTGGTGAATTGGCCAAAATTAACGCAACGAGTAGAAAAGTTTTTGTGTACGGAAATTGCGTAACTACGCATTAATGAAGAAAAATTACACTACGTGGTAGTGGTGGTGGTGGCTGGGAAAACTAACGCCCCCCTTTGAAAACAGACTGCAGGTAACGGGGAAAACTTTCCGAAATTGGACGACACTTTAGGCCATAAAAGGCCTCTGATTTATGCCAATTGAAGCTCATCCAGGTAAACTGCCTTGTAATGAAGTGAAGTCCTGAAATGAATCCATGGCCAGTGGGTGATTATAGTAGCTAAATGGGTGGGAAGCCACATATTCACGGGATTAGAACGGCCAGGCTTTGATCATCATCGTCATCTAATCATTTGTTATTCGCAGACCTGTGCTCTCCGTCTTTCGTAATGCCTTTATGGCCGTCATTAAATCCCTGACCAGATAGATGGGGACATCTTCCATTTACGACTGCTTCGCCAACTATAATCATCGTCCATCATCTGTTGCCTAATTAATTGTAAAGTTTTTCGCTTCTTTGTTTGAAATCTTTTGCGCCCATTAATTTTGCCACAGATGTCGTAATTGCCGGGACATCGGGGCGAATGATTAATATATCAAAGTTTTGCACTCGCAAACGTCCAAGAAAATCGCCTAGAATTTTCCTACTTTTGCAATGAACTTAAACTTTTTCTGAAATTACAATAAAATAATTGCTCTCTTAGATGTGCTATTCAAAAATTCTTAACTTAGAATTTGAATGTCTTAAAGAAGTCCTTACACAAATTGTTTAATACCTTCTTTAAAATGTTTTTGAAAGGTAAAATCTTTAAAACTATTTAAAGATAACTAGCTTTAATTGTGGGTGTTAACAAGTTACTAATTTTTTTGGACAAACATGCCTAAATGCTTCTTGTTATTTTAACAATTTTTTTAAAGGTCTCAAATTCATGTCATTTTGTTTTTTCAAGAGCTCTAAAAAATTGAGGTAGATAATGATTTAAATTCATAAAGTTAGTTGTTAATTTTAAATTATTTATCTAAATTTGGCGAATTTGGGTACTGTATAAATGTTTCTGGCAATTGTACCATATTCTTCAGTCATTTTGTTTCCTCAAGAGCTCTCAGAAGGCAGCCAAGTGAATCTCCTCCTTCGTCTGAAGTGGATAATAATTTAAATTCATGAAATTAGTTTTAATAATATTAATAATATCATCACTTGGCAGCACAAACCAATTTGGGAATGGGGAGGAGGCCAGGAATAAGGCTGGAACTCCAACGCCATAAGCCGGCTTTGGTTTCGGCTTTCGACTTTGGATCTGGCTTGGCTTTAGCATTTTTGGTCATAGTTCAACGCTTGCTGGGAATTTGCACAAAGGCGTCAAGGCAACTCGGAGCAACTAGCTTTAATTGTGGGTGTTAACAAGTTACTAATTTTTTTGGACAAACATGCCTAAATGCTTCTTGTTATTTTAACAATTTTTTTAAAGGTCTCAAATTCATGTCATTTTGTTTTTTCAAGAGCTCTAAAAAATTGAGGTAGATAATGATTTAAATTCATAAAGTTAGTTGTTAATTTTAAATTATTTATCTAAATTTGGCGAATTTGGGTACTGTATAAATGTTTCTGGCAATTGTACCATATTCTTCAGTCATTTTGTTTCCTCAAGAGCTCTCAGAAGGCAGCCAAGTGAATCTCCTCCTTCGTCTGAAGTGGATAATAATTTAAATTCATGAAATTAGTTTTAATAATATTAATAATATCATCACTTGGCAGCACAAACCAATTTGGGAATGGGGAGGAGGCCAGGAATAAGGCTGGAACTCCAACGCCATAAGCCGGCTTTGGTTTCGGCTTTCGACTTTGGATCTGGCTTGGCTTTAGCATTTTTGGTCATAGTTCAACGCTTGCTGGGAATTTGCACAAAGGCGTCAAGGCAACTCGGAGCCCCATTCCCATTCCCAGACCCATTCCTCAACATCGCCATCTGGGGCTTATGCCCATTGTTGGCACTGTTGCCGTTGCCAGTGCCAACCATCATCAACATTATGCAGAAGGCTCCCGGGCTAAGATCTGGCCACAAGTTATAAAACTGCCTGGTAGCCCCAACTTGCCAACATCCCAACCCGGATTCCCCACCATCACCACCCCACCTACCATCCATTCATCTAACAAATTTCTCTCTCTTTGTTTAAATTTTGCGCGCCGGAAATTTGCTTATCGCCGCTTTTCAGTTGTGGCTCTTGATGCCAGTGGAGGCGTATTGAAGGGGGGGACCCAGGGTCAGGGGAAACCATGCTTTTCGAGGGGGTCCAAAGTCAATAGGGAGATTAGTGCGGCAGGCATTGAGCCGGCACAGAGCTGTGCTAATTGAGCGACCGGTCATGGCAACAGCTTAAATCAATAGAACCAGCCCGGATTTATTCAATATGCACCCGAAACGAAAGAGAAACTTTCCGGGGGTTTATGCGGCAGATAAATTAATGATTAGCAGTGCACTTTGTTAAATAGTGGGACTCCATGGGATCCCCTATACATAGGAACAGATAGATAAGATAGGAAGATGGATCTCCTAGCTGCTGATCAAGAATATATAACATACCTTTCAGTTCATCGAGGGTCTTCAAAAAGGGCCTTAGTAAATTATGGGTTTAAAATTAATTAGACTACGTTTCGTAGGACTTTAAGTTTCTTTTCCATATCCAAAAATGTTGTAATGCAGTAGGCTAATATTAAACGTCAAGCCGTTGTACGTCTAATCGTAAGGCCCTACATTCATTCTATCGCCAGCCTTAGAGCCGTCCACATCTTTTATACTTTTTTTGATCAGTTTTATTTTTATTTAATTGTTTCTAAATACAATTGTATTAAAAGTATGTTTTTCTAACGTTGTTATATAAAATACTTGATATCTATAGTCTGTTGAAATATTCCAGATAATTTACAGACATTGAGCTGTCCACCTTTTTTAGATTTGTAAATTTTTTTAAAATTTTAAATAGTAAAAAAAAAGTGAGTACTTTATCTATTAAGCGATATACATGATAATCCAAACAGTCTGTTTATGTTCAGGACTGAAAAGAGCGAGAAATCTTTAGACGTACGAATGTTCCAGAAGCTGCATATCAAAGAAGAGAATCATAATACCAGTAACACGATCTTGCCCACCTTCAACCATCAAAGACTTCAAGCTTCAAGACTTCAATCCAGTGATGTTCATCATTGTGGGACCTCAGCAAGATCATTTCCAACGTTTTTTAAAGAACAATGCCCACAACAGGCGTCCGTTTCATCAGAGTTTCTCCAATCAGGCCAAAGTCACTCATCATAGCCTTATAATTCCCAGAGCATGCGTACAAGGTGTCTTGCTAATCATGAAAAACTTCCAGGTCTACAAGTTTTTCATGATTAGCAAGACACCTTGTACGCATGCTCTGGGAATTATAAGGCTATGATGAGTGACCTTGGCCCGATTGGAGAAACTCTGATGAAACGTATATAAATAAAGGCAACACAATTTTTAAATTTCTCATTTGTTTATTCTTTCTCAATATAATAAAGTAAAATTCACAAGCTTTGTCTTTCGAAAACTATTACTACAAAATCCCTAGTCCAAATCCACCGCCTCCTGGCTTTCTGCCCCGATTACCGCCACCACCTCCACCTCCTCCAAGGCCTCCCAATCCCAAGGTGTTGCCCACACCTCCCAGAGTATCGCCCAATCCACCTCCAAGTTGTCCTAACACATTTCCCAATCCAGCACAGGTGGTGGAAGTCAGAGGAGATAGTGAGGCTCCCAAAACGGACAATTCACAGAAGCGGAAATCATTGGAGGTCTCCAGATTTGTATCGATCTTAATAAAGGGCGTAGCTTTTCCCGTAACGCTCTGGAAAAGTGATGAACCCTTGGTGTCCTCTTTGTCTCTATTGGCAAACTTCACCAATAGATCAATAAGGTTATGGCGAACTTTTAGATCCTCGGCACTTGTCAAACGTGTTTCCTCCAAGGGATTGCCAAAAATATCATTTGCATCGAACATATAGCCGATCTCATCGCCATGACCCACTGTCTCGGGTTTATCATGAGCCGTTTCTGAGACAATAGGAAGTCCTTTGAGGAAGTTGATACCCTTTGACTTGGTGCCATTATACTCGAAGCTGTACATAAAAGCTGGAGCCAGTTTAGACCAAACTTGGGTGGTTAGAACCGCTGGCAGATTGAAAAGGACATCCGTTGTTGATTCCACCACTTTGGAGAGTACTTGATCCACATTCAGGGCTTGAGGCACCTTCCAAACATCCTGAAGAGTGGGCGTTAGAAGACTCGTTAGACCTGGAAGTTCCGGTTTGGCTATCTGACCAGTTATCTTATCGACTTTAAGGAAACTTGTTAACTTGTTTAGAGAATCACTTAGAGATCCCAAGAACTGTTCTGCCGATCCAAAGACCTTCTCTATGTTTTCCACCGTTACAGAGTTAGCTGTCTCGTGTTTGGTAACTCCGGTTAGCAGGGGAATCCCCGAAAAGTTACTGCTCTTGAGCTGCTGTTCCGGTTCTCCAACTATCAGACTTGGTAATGCCCTGCCATCATCCTCGCTTTCGATGTGAGGTTGGAAGCCAACATTTCCGGTCAGTCCTTTGACCAGAGCACGTCCTGCTAAACGCTCTGTTTGCACCTTGTCATCGTTTTTAATGATCTCTTCGGCACTTTTCTGTAAGTTGTGAAAAGGAAATACAAAATTTACTCATTGATACTCATTTATTTCATTGACTCATAGTGATTTTAAGTGATTCAAAGTAAAAAAAAATTAGATTAAATTAAATTAAAATAGAGATTTTTAAGATTAATCTAAGAATCTCCTCCAAACTCACCCCTCTCATGCAGTTGACGATCTCCAGTTCGTTTCCTGTGGGACATCCATTGATTTTGGCCACCTCCTGTACACTCTGCACAGGCTCCTTATCCATGGCATATTGGGATAGGGCTGTTCCCGACATGGCCACCACTCCATGAACATCCCCAGCACTCTTGGCCGTCTGTGACATGGAAAGATACATAGCACTAGCTGCTCCGGATCCATGTCCAATAGCCTGAACCTGTTTGGGATTACCTCCGAAATAGGAGATATAATCGGTGACCCAGCGGAGAGCGGCGGCCAAATCAAACATGGCTAGATTGCCATCAAACTGCTTGGTGCCGTCGCCCATAATTCCCAGGGATCCCAGACGATATTGAGGGGCCACGACAATGGCGCCCCTTTGGGCCATGGGCGTGGCATCATACTGGGCGGCCGAACCATATCGATAGCCACCGGGATGGATCCACACAAAGACCGGCAGACCCGTACTTTCATCCGGCATTTGAGGAGTGTAGATATTCAGCAGCAAACAATTCTCATCTCCAATAACTCGCTGAGGAAACTGCGGATGTGGTTGGATACAAGGTGGACCATGTTTGGTGGCATTCAATTCGCCAGCCAGTCTTTTGTACACCGGTCGAGAGTATCTCAAAGGGCCCAGCGGAGGTTCCGCATAGTGCATTCCGAGGAAACTATATATACCCGTATTGGGATTACGAAAGCCCTCGACACGAGCATCGCGATTAAAGAGTCTTGCGAATATCACAGGATCATCGACTGGAGGAGCCTTCGATTGCTTGCCACCCACAATGCGTTTCACTCGAATATGCGAATCTCCATGCGATTCGCACCTCGTCAAGGTCACTAGCCATAGTACTAAAAACAAAATGTTCCGCTTCAACTGCTTTTGCATTTCGCTTCGCTCGATTGTCAACTGGGAACTGAGCACCAACTGGCATTATAATCGAAACCCCTACTCAAAAACCGAGGCCGGGCACTTGCTCAGCTTGGCGATAAACAACAGAGGCTACTGGAATAAAAATAAGTCAGAAAAAATAGCATCACAAAATGATAAAAAACTTAAACTTTTGCGGCCGCCTTGTTTGCGTGCCTCCAGTTGGATAAGACCATGTTTGGCACAGAGCTTCTCCGGCATTCTAATCACGTTCTCCACGCCAGTTATAGTTCACTGAGTCACTGAGAATCTAAAATTAGCTGGGGGATTTTCGGATAACTTTTCGGCGAATAAAGCTCCGGGCAGCAAGCCTAATAAAACCAGAGTTCAAGGACGTTGTTTGCAGTCTAAATTTAATGTCGACATTTATTTTTATGTCTAAGCCCTGTTTATAATTAAAAATCCCAGAGTTCAAGGACGATGTTTGCAGTCTAAATTTAACGCCAAGACAATTATTTTTAGGTTTAAGCTCTGTTTATAATTAAAAATCCCAAAATATACCTTACCTGTTGGAAAATAGAATCGCCTTATTAAAGCTATATAAAAAACGAAATTTATTTTATATTTTTATAATATACATTAATATTATCTCCTGAAAACAATTTTATAAAACAATCTTATCTGCACATCAATCCAATAACCTGTTTGCTACTGAAATTTAAATTCCCCCTTGAACAATTCAACATTACTTGCATCACATGTGTATATTTCTGAGATTGATGTCTCTGCTCATCTCTTGATTTAAAGACAGGCAATTAAATCAGAGACAATTTGCTGTATTATTTTATTAGCAGCGTGAGACTTCTTGCCTAGAATCACCGCCTCATCTTGCTCAATAAAATTTCTCAATAACAAACTGGTCAGTTTGGTTTTTCCCATCACATTGTAGATGCTTCCATGCTTTTCGCTGAAATTCAATTGCATGAGCAAAATAATAATGAGAGTTTAAAGCCGACAGCGGTCATTGTCTGTAGATGAGACTTTTGTGGGTTGGGTGAAGTGGGGAAGGCCTAGGCTAGTTGGCCATATGAATCCATAGTGCCATATTTTACAGCTGTGCGGCATTATCTTTTGCCCAGATGAATTATATTCTTCAGCATATTTACAGCTAACAGAGGAAACGGGTAGCGGAGGCCGGATGCTGGCAAATATCATGAGGCAAACGCATGTTGAGATTTCAAGCTTCTGGTTTCTTGACCCATCCCCCTGTTCAAAAGTCGAGCCAGGACCCGGATCCATCCGGGGATTAGACTGGGGACCGACGCAGCGGCACGCGCTGCCCGAACTGAGGGCACTCTGCCACATGAATCTCAATGTTGTTGTCCAGCCAGTCGACCACGTACGGCAGCTGATTTGTCCCAGTCTCGGCTACAGCCCTCTACTTCCATCACCCCAGCTTCCTATCTATTCCACTCATTTTAGCACTGACAAAATGGGGTTCTAATAAACAAATTAAAAATGATTTTAAAAATATATCGAAGGTTCAAATTGTTAAAATCCAAAATAAATGTATAATTTTTATCAGAAAAATTGTAAGGCTCTTCACAATAATTTTTATTTTTGTTTATAAAAAGTTATTTTAATGAAAAAATATGATAGATTTTTCTCCTTAAACAAAACAATTTTATATTTCACTTAAATCTATCGACATTAAGTTTAACATTAAAAAAGAAAGTATTAGAAAAATACGAGCTATTAAAAAAAACCATTTAAAAGGTAAAGGCAGTCTTTACTTTTATATTTGGTAATACAAATTTGTTCAAAAACTTTGCTAAAAATTATTTTTCTTCTCTTAACATTAAGTTTATTGTTTAAAAAATTTTGTAATTTGCGAAACATAATTCATTTGATTTTATTTTAAAAACCTACGAATTTAAAAAGTAAACTTTTTTCAATTTCATAGTTCCTAAAATAAATTCTAGATATTTTAGTTTGAATTGCTAGACCTAAACCCGAACTAAAATTCTTTCTGGTGTAATTTCAAGCACTCTTGGCTCTTTCATGTGTCGCAGACAATGGCCAAATGACATTTAAAGTTACGACAATATAATTAAGTATACTACTGGGAGTTGACGCCATCTAAAGGCGGAGGAGGAGCTAGAGCCTTTTGGCCAGGCCAAGGAATAATTATATATGTATGAGGATCTCCTCATCCCTCCCCGATTTCCTCGAGAGGCGTGCAACACTCTTGCAGCACGCAAAGTTTGCCCAGATGCAAAGAGTTGGATACCAGAACCCACTTTCCTACTGCCCAACTTGCCCGACACGCCTCGGCGTTTAACGAGATTAATCTTTTTTGCCTGACTATCTGCAGCTATCGCAATCCCAACTATCCC